CCACCTTTAGGGTGGCTTAATCTTTATCAATCAGTCAATCTAATAAGCTCAGTATTCCTGTGTCAGTTCAACAGAGTTTACTCGTGACTATGTCACATTGCTGATGAAACGTCGAATACACATGGAAAGATTAAGTGATCAAGTGTTTCTTCGCCCTCCAGATGGTAGAAGATATTTGCGTAGAATGGAAAATATTCAAAAGAAAATTAATTATAATATATATATATATATATATATATATATATATATATATATATATATATATATATATATATATATATATATATATATATATATATATATATATATATATATATATATATATATATATATATATATATATATATATATATATATATATATATATATATATATATATATATATATATATATATATATATATATATATATATATATATATATATATATATATATATATATATATATATATATATATATATATATATATATATATATATATATATATATATATATATATTTATATGTGCTCGGGAATATGAAGAAAATTTTATTGTACATCACTACTTCATTGTGAAACTGATAACTGTACATCATTCTGGCCTGTCCTGCCTGCTATATTCTGACCAGCCCTGCCTGCTATACTCTGGCCATACTCTGGTTATACTCTCCTAAATTCTGGTCAAATTATTTCCCTGATATATGTCATATTTGCTCTGCATTCTGACAGCAATTTTATCATTGTAGAGGTTCGTTCATAATTATCCTATTTTGCTGCGATTTATCATTTTCATGTTTAATTTATAATTATTTTGCCGAAATGAATTACTCATTGTAGCGTGTGATTCGTCATTATAATGGCCTGTATTACTCCATCACTTAAACAGTTAGTAAACTGTTATTCAACCCGACATTTCACTCATTACCAGCCGTAACAACTTTAATTTGGTTTCCTCATTCCAATCACTCATAAAAATCTCAATTTCACTCATTCTTGCAACATTTTTAACTCAATGCCCTAAAAAAAAAAGAAATTCTTACGTATGTCTCCGTAACTCATTATAGATGAATCATGAGTAATAACTCACAGCTTTAACCAGCGCTTATATCAACATTATCTGTTATTCTGATGCAAATTTTGTGTGATTTATTCCATAGTAATCCAAAAAATCTTTCGCGAAAATTGGGCGACATCGGATCATCCGGCTTCGTATTGGCTCGTGTGATTTAAGATCGATATTTCATTAGTCTCAGACAGCTGACAGAAGCCTCGGACTTGTATGACAATCTGGTCTCAGAGATATACTATCTTCTCTCCATCTGTCCACTGATAGTACGGTGCGTCTATACCCCCCGTCTACTGATACTACTGTGTCTCTATACCCGTCCACTGATACTACTGTGTCTCTATTCCCGTCCACTGATACTACTGTGTCACTATACCTGTCCACTGATACTACTGTGTCTCTATACCCGTCCACTGATACTACTGTGTCTCTTTATCAGTCCACTGATACTACTGTGTCTCTATACCTGTCAACAGACAACTACGGTGAGGCCTCCCCCCGTCCATTAACAAATAACAAACTGTGCAGATAAAATACAAAAAAATATAGTTAAAAATTATGGACAAAACTTGAATAATTCTATACTCAGGAAAGACCTGGGTAAATACTGGTTTGGATACTGGTTTATTGGTTTGGTGTTAGGGGAGTTATACTGGTTATAATGGAGTTAGGTTATGCTTGTTTGGTGTTAGCCGTATATGATCGAGCACGAGAGGCTCACGAAGGAAGCTGCCTGATATGGGGTGAATAGTCCAACTGCAGTTATAATAATTCTCATGTTCTTAAGAATCCCTTACAAACACATGTTTTATGCAAACCAACAGAGTAATTAGGACTCTTTGTTTCCTTAAGAAATATGTAAAATTTGTAACTTATTTTGCCATCAAGATGGTAATTAAGATATAGAGTCATCTATATATCTATAAGATATAGAGTGATCTATATATCTATAAGATATAGAGTCATCTAAATATCTGTAAGATATAGAATCATCTATATATCTATTAGATATAGAGTCATCTATATCTATGAGATATAGAGTCATAGAGTTCCATATATCTTAACCTCGTCAATAAAGGAACAAGAAATTGTACATAAAATATCTATCTCTCAACAAATAAAGTAAATAAAAAACTGTAGATGTGTAAAAACTAACTTAATAATAATAAAAAAATATTATTAGAGGTATTAATAAAGTCATTTAACTACCCTAACCTAACCTAACTTAATTAAACCTTGCCTAACGTTCCCTAACCTAACCTGAGCTAATTTAACCTCACCTGAGCTAGTTTAAGGTAACCTGAAGTTAAACTAACTTAACTTCAACCTAACCTAAATTAAACATTAACCTAACCTAACTTAAACATTAACCTAACCTAACCTTAACCAAGCATAACCTACCATTAACATCACTTTAACCAAACCCAATTTAACCAAATCTAACGTTACCTATCCATAACCTAATTTAAATCTATCCTAATCTAAACTAACCTAACCTAACCTAGCCTAACCTAACCTAACCTAACCTAACCTAACCTAACCTAACCTAACCTAGCCTAACCTAACCTAACCTAATATACGTTTCTCGTGACATTATACTTTGCGTTCGTCGTGGAAATAAACATTAATTACACTGAAATTTTTGTATAGTTGTCGCTGGAGACAACAAAGTCTAAAACGTTTAATTTAGTCCTGGACAACGTTCCGGACGAAAGAATAAGTCCAGGTTGGACAATAAGCTAGAACTACGGGCTCACCATAGCCCGTGCTGCTTGGAACTTTTCGTTCCGAGTAGCGAATCTTTAACAACAACAGTAAGACATCCTTAATAACCCTCCAGCGGTTATCATAACACCAAATATAAACATCATATTCATTTCACTGCCATCCTAACTGCCATTTTTTACGAACGAATTATCCCCTCTACACGGGAGAAAATAAAATAAAAATAGAGCACCAATTTGACGTTAGCAGAAACGAACACTTACAACAGAGCCGTAAATCCCGGCTGGCCGGACCTCCGTTGCTTTACTACAGAGGCTCAATAAATCTCCGCCAAGTATCTATAATAACTCTTGTTGCTCCTAAATTCACTGTGATACATGGTGGTGCGGCGGAGGCTCTTTCTTTGCCATTATATATATATATATATATATATATATATATATATATATATATATATATATATATATATATATATATATATATATTTTTTTGGTGGTGGTGGTGACCTCAGGGTGAAGTTTGGGGAGTCGAGCGAGGACAAACATGGCTAGAGAAGGCTCGGGTCTATCCACCCAGGGTGGGAGAGAGGATGAAAATAGTGAAGATGGGAGGGGGAGGTACTGGGAGATGAACGTCGTGACAAGTCATAGGGGGATAGGAATAGAGATGGAAGAGAGAGCATAGGAAGGGATAGAGTTGGAAGAGAGGACATAGGAAGGGATAGAGATGGAAGAGAGGACATAGGAAGGGATAGAGATGGAAGAGAGAGCATAGGAAGGGATAGAGATGGAAGAGAGGACATAGGAAGGGATAGAGATGGAAGAGAGGGCATAGGAAGGGATAGAGATGGAAGAGAGGACATAGGAAGGGATAGAGATGGAAGAGAGGGCATAGGAAGGGATAGAGATGGAAGAGAGGACATAGGAAGGGATAGAGATGGAAGAGAGGGCATAGGAAGGGATAGAGATGGAAGAGAGGACATAGGAAGGGATAGAGATGGAAGAGAGGACATAGGAAGGGATAGAGATGGCAAGAGAGGACATAGGAAGGGATAGAGATGGAAGAGAGGACATAGGAAGGGATAGAGATGGAAGAGAGGACATAGGAAGGGATAGAGATGGAAGAGAGGACATAGGAAGGGATAGAGATGGAAGAGAGGGCATAGGAAGGGATAGAGATGGAAGAGAGGACATAGGAAGGGATAGAGATGGCAAGAGGCACAGACGAAGGATGAAGCTGGCAGGGCAGGCCCAGGTATTGAGTGGCAATATACAAAAACCCGAAGGAATAAGGGTAGAAGTAGACCATTGATGAATAACGATTCATCAAACATCTATTCATCCACTAACCCAACCTGTACATCTCTCCTTATTCATGGCCGGATTTATTGACATGTCTTCATCAGTTATAATGACCTCAGAGGCTTCACGAAGATGATTATCACAACACAAGATGATTATCAAGATGATTAGATGATTATTATAGATGATTATGATTTCAAGCTTGCAAACTTTAACACAAGTAAACAGGACGTGATAATTGAGGAAAGATCCATAGGTTTCGCAAGTGGATGAGTAAATGCTAGATAAATCCTGGTCCTAGATTCTAATGAGGATGCTGGGAGTGAGGTAATGAGGGTTAATTATGAGGAGAAAGCGCTAGGCCATTATGATTAAATACCACTTCGATGGGATATGAGGACAAGGATCTGGGATATGAGGACAAGGGTCTGGGATATGAGGACAAGGTTCTGGGATATGAGGACAAGGATCTGGAATATGAGGACAAGGATCTGGGATATGAGGATAAGGATCTGGGATATGAGGACAAGAATCTGGGACATGAGGACAAGGTTCTGGGATATGAGGACAAGGTTCTGGGATATGAGGACAAGGATCTGGGATATGAGGACAAGGGTCTGGGATATGAGGACAAGGGTCTGGGATATGAGGACAAGGATCTGGAATATGAGGACAAGAATCTGGGACATGAGAACAAGGATCTGGGATATGAGGACAAGAATCTGGGACATGAGGACAAGGATCTGGGATATGAGGACAAGGATCTGGGATATGAGGACAAGAATCTGGGACATGAGGACAAGGATCTGGGATATGAGGACAAGGATCTGGGATATGAGGACAAGGATCCGGGATATAAGGACAAGGAGCAGTAATAGTTTAACAAGGAACTGGGATATGAGAATACGAGCTGGGATATAGGACTAACGAGCTGGGATATAGGACTAACGAGCTGGGATATAGGAATAACGAGCTGGGATATAGGACTAACGAGCTGGGATATAGGACTAACGAGCAGGGATATAGTAGGACTAACGAGCTGGGATATAGGAATAACGAGCTGGGATATAGGACTAACGAGCTGGGATATAGGAATAACGAGCTGGGATATAGGACTAACGAGCTGGGATATAGGACTAACGAGCTGGGATATAGGACTAACGAGCTGGGATATAGGACTAACGAGCTGGGATATAGGACTAACGAGCTGGGATATAGGACTAACGAGCTGGGATATAGGACTAACGAGCTGGGATATAGGAATAACGAGCTGGGATATAGGGGTAACGAGCTGGGATATAGGAATAACGAGCTGGGATATAGGACTAACGAGCTGGGATATAGGACTAACGAGCTGGGATATAGGACTAACGAGCTGGGATATAGGACTAACGAGCTGGGATATAGGACTAACGAGCTGGGATATAGGAATAACGAGCTGGGATATAGGAATAACGATCTGGGATATAGGAATAACGAGCTGGGATATAGGAATAACGAGCTGGGATATAGGACTAACGAGCTGGGATATAGAAACAGCTAACAAACAGTAACAAGCCATTTGCACCATCGGGAATCGAACCCCGCCCCTGTAAGAACCTAGCTGGGCACTCTACCACCTAGACCTTTTGAGAACTTAGACTTAAATGAACCGAAAGACTTAGGAACTTAACACGGCTGTTTTGCGACTTTTTCCGTCCTGACCACTTAACTAGTGGTTATAAAGCGGTTTTGTCTAACCAGAATAACGATTGTTAGAAAAGTGGACCGTGATTGTTAGAGAGAAAGAATGGACCGCAATTGTTAGAGAGGAATATTGACCCGGGATTGTTAGAGATGGACAATAGCTCACAAAAAGCGGTAACTTAGTGAATGAATTAAATAGTAGAAAGAGGGTGAAATGGTACGAGTAAAGAACAAAGAGGGATGGGACAGTAACAAAGAGAGGAACAAAGGAACAATAACAAGAGAGACACAATCAAGAGGGAGAGACACCTGAGAGAGATACAATGAAAAAATATAAAAACAAGAGATACATAACAAATAAATATGGGAAATAAACATACAATCAAGAGAGATAAATAAACAATCAACAGAGAAAGAGAGTCAGAGAGAGACAGACAATCAGCTGTGAGAGACACAATCAAGGAACAGAAAGTGAAAATACAGAAAGAAATATTAGTCAACAGTGATAATTACTCTGTCACTGTGTACTGTCACTGTACCACTGTGTACTGTCACTGTACCACTATGTACTGTCACTGTACCACTGACACTGGCCTGAACTACAGGCCAGTGTCCTTAACTTGTATACCATGCAAGGTGATGGAGAAGATTGTGAGAAAAAACCTAGTAACACATCAGGAGAGAAGAGACTTCGTTACAACCCATCAACATGGGTTCAGGCAGGGTAAATATTGCCTTACAGGCTTAGCAGAGTTCTACGACCAGGTGACAAAGATTAAGCAGGAAAGTGAAGGATGGCCAGACTGCATTTTCTTGGACTGTCGGAAAGGCTTTGACTCAGTACCCCATAAATGGCTGGTACATAAGCTGGAGAGACAGGCAGTAGTAATTGGTAGGGTGCTCCAGTGGATAAAGGAGTACCTAAGCAATAGGAAGCAGAGAGTTACAGTGAGGGGGTGAGACCTCAGAATGGCGTGAAGTCACCAGTGGAATCCCACAGGGCTCTGTACTCGGTCCTATCTTGTTTCTGATATATGTAAATGATCTCCCGGAGTGTATAGACTTATTCCTCTCAATGTTTACTGACGATGCAAAAATTTTGAGAAGGATTAAGACAAAGGAGGACTGCTTGAGGCTTCAGGAAGACCTAGATAAACTGAAGGAATGGTCGAACAAATGGTTGTTAGAGTTTAACCCAAGCAAATGAAATGTAATGAAGATAGGTGTGGGGAGGAGGAGACCAGATACTAGGTATCATCTGGGAGATGACATTCTTCAAGAGTCAGAGAGAGAAAAAGATTTAGGGGTTGACATCACGCCAGACCTGTCCCCTGCAGGCCATATCAAGAGGATAACATCAGCAGCATATGCCAGGTTGGCCAACATTAGAACGGCATTCAGAAACTTGTGCAAGGAATCATTCAGAACTTTGTATACCACATATGTCAGGCCAATCCTGGAGTATGCAGGGAAGGGAACTATCCCCTGATAGTTCCCTTCCCTTCCAGCATGGAGCCCATATCTAGTCAAGCATAAAACTAAACTGAAAAAGGTTCAAAGGTTTGCCACCAAACTAGTACCCGAGCTGAGAGGTATGAGCTACGAGGAGAGACTAAAGGAATTTAACCTCACGTCGCTGGAAGACAGTAGAGTTAGGGGGGACATGATCACCACATACAAGATTCTAAAAGAAATTTATAGGGTAGATAAAGACAGGGTATTCAACACAAGGGGCAAATGCACTAAGGGACACAGTTGGAAAATGAGTGCCCAAATGAGCCACAGAGATATTAGAAAGAACTAACATTCTGACATAATTTTTTTAGTGTCAGAGTGGTTGACAAATGGAATGCATTAGGAAGTGATGTAGTGGAAGCTGACTCCATTCACAGTTTCAAGTGTAGATATGATAGAACCCAGTAGGCTCAGGAATATGTACATCAGTAGATTGACAGTTGAGAAGCGGGACCAAAGAGCCAGAGCTCAACCCCCGCAAGCACAAATAGGTGAGTATAAATAGGTGAGTACACACCCAGACTGCTATTCAAACTTGAGAGGCAGGCGGGAGTAAGCGGAAAGGCCCTAGAATGGATATGGAACTACCTAACAGGATGGAACCAGAGAGTAACTGTAAGGGGTGAATAGTCGGACTGGCGAACAATAACGAGTGGAGTACCTCAAGGATCGGTGCTGGGACAAATTTTATTTCTAATATACGTAAATGACATGTTTACAGGAGTAGAGTCTTACATGTCGATGTTCGCGGATGACGCAAAATTAATGAGAGGAGTTGTTACAGATGAGGATTGTAGGATCCTCCAAGAGGTATTGAACAGGTTGCAGAAATGGTCAGAGAAATGGCTACTGGAGTTCAACACGAGCAAATGTAAAGTTATGGAAATGGGATCAGGTGATAGATGACCAAAGGGACAGTACACAATGAAGGGAAACTGCCTACCTGTAACGATTCGAGAAAGAGACCTGGGAGTGGACGTAACACCTAATCTAACTCCTGAGATATATAAATAGGATAACGACAGCAGCGTACTCTACACTGCCAAAAGTGACACCATCATTCTGAAACCCAAGTGAGGAAGAAGGCTTTTTGGGCACTTTACACTGCCTACGTGAGACCAGTCTTAGAGTATGCCGCGCCATCATGGAGTCCCCACCTGAAGAAGCACATAAGGAAACTGGAAAAGGTTCGGTAGTTTTCGACGGGGCTCGTCCCAGAGTTACGAGGGATGGGATATGAAGAGCACCTGAAGGAACTGAACCTTACGACACTAGACAAAAAGAAGGGAGAGGGGGATATGATTGGAACGTATAAAATACTCAGGGGGATTGACAGAGTTGACATAGACGGAAGGTTCACACGGAATAGTAACAGAACGAGGGGACATGCGTGAAAGCTGGAAACTCAGATGAGTCACAGAGATGTTAGGAAGTTTTCTTTTAGCGTGAGAGTAGTGGGAAAATGGAATGCACTTCAGGAACAGGTTGTGGAAGCAAATACTATTCATAACTTTAAAACTAGGTATGATAGGGAAATAGAACCAGAGTCATTGCTGTAAACATCCGATGCTCGAAAGGCGGGATCCAAGAGTCAATGCTCGATCCTGCAGACACAAATAGGTGAATACAAAGAGGTGAGTACACACATCCCCAGGAAGCACACACTCCCAGGTACCTATTTACTACTATGTGAGGCAGCAGGGCGATAGAAACTGTGACCATTTGTTTCCGTCTTCGCCGGGGATCGAACCCAGACCCTTCCGACTACGACCCCAGAGCATTGCCCACTCAGCCGCGAGGCCCCCGCACGTGTGTGTGTGTGTGGGCGTTGATATCTCAACCTTCGGGTAGTTGTTATTAACAATTGACGTCAATGATCTAATTATATCATATTTCTAACAAATTTAAGGGAAGGTGTTATCGGTGAGGAATCAACATTTTGTAACTAACTCCCGCATTGACATCCAGCCAATTAGCCTCCTACAAAAGAGCAGTATTGATAGCCACACTGAAAGAGACGCACAAATAAAACACTCTAAACATAGACTGTGTTCTGAGGGACAGCTTTCAAGACAGTGATGACGACATCAGTGAAGAAACACTCAAAGATTGAGAACGTAACGAAGCCAAACAGGTTGAACCATCACTGCAAGAATTGCAATATTGAGAGAGAGAGAGAGAGAGAGAGAGAGAGAGAGAGAGAGAGAGAGAGAGAGAGAGAGAGAGAGAGAGAGAGAGAGAGAGAGAGAGAGAGAGAGAGAGAGAGAGAGAGAGAGAGAGAGAGAGAGAGAGAGAGAGAGAGAGAGAGAGAGAGAGAGAGAGAGAGAGAGAGAGAGAGAGAGAGAGAGAGAGAGAGACAGAGAGAGAGACAGAGAGAGAGAGAGAGACAGAGAGAGAGACAGAGAGACAGAGAGAGAGACAGACAGAGAGAGAGACAGAGAGAGAGACAGAGAGAGAGAGAGAGAGAGAGAGACAGAGAGACAGAGAGACAGAGAGAGAGACAGAGAGACAGAGAGAGAGAGAGAGAGATTGAGAGAGAGAGAGAGAGAGAGAGAGAGAGAGAGAGACAGACAGACAGAGATAGAGAGAGACAGAAAGACAGAAACTTAATTACCATGAACATTCTGAAGGGAGGAGAAAACGAAGATGATAGATGGAACAGTCGAAGGGGTGTGATAACGAGAGAATAAATGGGAATCAGAGGAGAGAGTGGAGCCTGGCGGACAGGGGAGGCATGAGAGAGAGTGATGAAGTAAGATGAAGGAAGTGTCCAAGAGAATCATCGACGTATAACATAAGAAAGGAGAGACCGAAATCCTGATAAACTTTGTATGAAAGGAAGACCATTAAATCAAGTGTCTGGCTCAAGAATGATCGAGAGAGGGAAGACATATGAACCGTCCGAACCGCTGGGAGAGGCCACATGAACCGCCGGAACCGCTGGGAGAGGCCACATGAACCCCCGAAACCGCTGTGAGAGGACACATGAACCGCCCGAACCGCTGGGAGAGGACACATGAACCGCCGGAACCGCTGTGAGAGGCCACATGAACCGCCCGAACCGCTGTGAGAGGCCACATGAACCGCCCGAACCGCTGGGAGAGGCCACATGAACCGCCGGAACCGCTGTGAGAGGCCACATGAACCGTCCGAACCGCTGGGAGAGGCCACATGAACCGCCGGAACCGCTGTGAGAGGACACATGAACCGTCCGAACCGCTGTGAGAGGCCACATGAACCGCCGGAACCGCTGTGAGAGGACACATCCCTCTCCCTAATCAAGAGGGATGAAAGACTAAGGTGAGACACAGCAGTGGATAGTGAGGCAAAGACTGCCTTAGTGATACGCACCAACTCAACCTTACGGAT